TCATCGATCCTGTTTTAAAAACATTGCCCTAAACCTAAAAATGGTTAACTTAAAAATTTGTAAAATGAGCTATTTTCTTCAATCTAATTTTCTCTTTTTTAGCATTTTTTTTTCGATATTGGATTTTGGACTTGAGAGAAAAAAAAAAAAGAGAACGAAACCGTACGTGGGAACAACCATGGCCATCGTAAACACCAAAATAGTGTTGTGAATAATCCGAATTCTTCGGAGAAGAAAACGAAGGATGAATCGCCACCGCATCTTCCATTTCTCTTCTTCTACCGCAAACCGAAGAAACGCCGTATCTCGGCTCAATCACCACCGTCCTCGGATCATCATCCCTCGCCGTTTCCGTTCCAAGTAATTTACGATCTTCCTTTGTGCTTCGAGAAATTGAAGTACAAGTCTTCTTAGCTTGAGCCTCTTGTTTATTACGTTTACAATTCTTCCACTCTTCTTGCATCATATTATGATCCATACAAAACCTCTGTTTTCTCCCTGAATGTGACGACGATGCGTTGGTCACCACTTCGTAACATATATTCGCCATATACGATAAAACTAAAAACTCAGATTCGATTTTGCTATGTTCTTGCCGAATCAAGAAGAAAATGAAAATGTTGAATCCTTTGGTTACTAACCGGTAAAGAAAAACTCATAAAACCATTCAATTGGAGAACGAAAATAATGTCACTACACGTTACTCACTCCCCTATTTTATATACAACTTTGCCTCTTCAGAAAAAAATTTCAATTTTATTATTTTACGTTCAGTTTTTGATTATCATTTTTTTTTTTTTGTTGACACTGATTTTCTTTTTTTCGGAACGTGATGTTTTTTAATCTGGACCGTCGGTCTAGAGATTGCAGTTATTAAATAATAAGACACGTAGACATGACAAACGAGTGGGAGATTCGTGGTCCAATTAAATTGAGACAAGAAAGCATCATTAATAAGTTACTTTCGCGCCACGATTGTAGTCGTTTCCTCGTTTCAAGGAGAGCTTTTTTCGCCTAAATACATATTTTTTTCCATGTAGATTTAATTGAATACTTGAGGAATTTCATTACGTTAGTTTTCATAGTTGATTACATATAAAACCTTAGTGTCGATTTAAATTATGTTTACTTTTTCAAACCTAACAAGCTTAGTGCCGATAATAAGACGGACAGTAGACACGTTAACAGAGAAAAGCTTAATATATTTGTTCACATAATCATCAATGAACTTATATTTCAATTATTAATGTCTTCATAGTCCACATAATCATCAATGTGTATATAATATGTAGGACAGTTCATCAACTATGTTGTGGTGGCAGTATGAACAATTATAAAACAAATTTATCTAAATTGACAATGCATTTTGTGTCTGCATCTCGTCCAATTTTATTTCTATACGAGTTAAAAACTAAGCTTTACGCAATTTGAATTCTCCTCGTTTTTCTCTAAACCTAATAATTTCATATTTTACATTATCTTTAGATATGGATCATTGTTTCCTTTATGGGAGATGTGAATTCTTATTGTGGGAATTCGATAGAGTATATGAGCCCAAGTTTTGATAGGTACTGTGGGAAAATATATCGTGTGATTGAACACACTCTTACGCGATAAGTTGTTTGCTCTAGCCTCTAGCCCGCGTACCACTATGTGCGTGGCTACTACTTCTCGACAACGGTCGGATCTCTCTCGTTATGGAGGTTCTGTTTCATTTCCTGATAAATTGATGAGACCAAGAACACAAAAGTGTGTAGGAAAGAATTATATTAGATTCTCATAAGAATAAAGTTACAAGTTACATTGATTTATATAGAGAATATACTAGATCTAGTTTCCTAAATTAAGATGAATATAAATGTAAATAATATCTTTACATAATGGTATATTTCCTAAAATTAGATATTGACAAATCTTTTAGATCTTTATCTTCAGAATTTTCATATCTCGGTCACTCATCTTAACCGTTTAATCTCGGTTGATCTTGACTTCTCGATCTCCCAATACCCCCCGGCAAGCTCATACGTGGTAGCACGTGTGGGATTAGACACATGTTCAACATATCGGCATTAAACTCGGACGTCGAGTCATCAATAACGATTGTAGGATTCAATATCGGCTGCAACATCCCGCCGTAGGAACAAATCGACGTTTATACCCGATCGTAGGGTCATCTTCGTGGCGTTTATGCCCGGTCATAGGGTCATCAACGAAGTTTATACCCTGCCGTAGGGCCATCGGTGGAAGATA